GAGACTGCCAAACACGGTGTGCTTTCCAAGCGCAGGCATAGCTGCTTGCGGGGAGGGGGAGAGTCCAAGGACACTCCAGTTGCGTAGCTGGCAACCCTCTGCAGCATGTACAGCTCAAACGACGGCTGCAGAGGAGGATGGCTGCTTGCTCAGCATTCTTGCAGGGCGGAATTAATTCCTGGCTGGTGCCCACACACATGTTCAGGGCATTCCCAGGAAGCCGGGCTCGTGGCTGTGAGGAAGAGGGCTGGGGTCCAGGGAGCTGAGTCCAGGGAATCTGCCAGACCCTCACCCCCAAATGGATTCCTCACACACCCCTAGCTGGTGGGCAAATTTGGCATAGCAGCTACCAAGCTGTTCAGGCCATCGTCAGACAAGCTGCGGCTGCAGGGAAGTTCTCAACCAGATTATTCTCTTGCGGTGAGAGCTAGACAGTGGTTGCGTTCCACCTCCTGGTATGTGGAGGTTACAGTTTGTGACAAGTCAAGTTCCTCCTGATGAGCTCTGTCACGAGACTATGAATATGCTTCTCAGTGCTAGTACAAATCCCATTCGTCGGCCTTATTGTATTATTCAGCATTGCCTGAGAAACGATTCAGCCCCTGAATGTCTGTGCTCAGATCAGGTTGCTCCTTTCCAAGGTCAGGGAAGAAGGCTGGGGAGGGGAGGGGAGGGGGAATCCTCACATTTCTCGGTGGGATCGAACATATTAACTTTTCCATCATTTCCCTGCATAGCTGTTTTGGGAATGGGAAGCAATCTAACAAAATCCATAACCTCATTTAGGTTTATCATTGCAATCAGAAGATTAATTAATTCCATGGACCCAGGTGACTTCAGGAAATGGCAACTTCGCTTCCACCCAGCCACCCAGCATCAAATTCCCTGCTAAACGATGGCAGCATGATTCGGAGTGAAAATGCTTAGACGTCTGCTTGTGCGGAGCCAATGTGGTTTGCTGGATGGGGTCCTGGGAGAGCTGGCTTCCAGTCCCCACTTGGCCATGAAGCTCACTGGATGGCTTTGGGCCAGTCACTCCCTCTAACCCTCACCTACCTCACAGGGTTGTTGTTGTGAAGATAAAAAGACCTTGCAAACTGCCTTAGGTTCCCTGCAAGTGGATATAGATGCAATATAATAATAAAAATAACAATGGAAGAGAAAATAAGGTGACATACAGTTAGCGTCTCTGCAATGATGTAGTTGGTCAAAACTAAATTCCAGCAGCAGTCCTGTCCCCACTTATTTTGGAAATAAACTCCAGCTAGGTCAACAGACTTACTTCAGCATAGCTTTGCACTGTCAGTCAGATTGCTACGAATAAAAAATCTTGTATAATCAGTAAAGCTCTTTTTAAATAATATAAATCAGATGCTTTGCCTTCCCAAATTAAATACTAAAATATTTGATCACATGTTTGAACATTTAGTCCGTGACTCACCATCTGATTTTAATGCCAACTCAGTACCAGAATATTGTGGTTATTGGCAAGAATGCATGGAAGGTCCACAGCAAGAGAGCTTTCCACCCATGGCGGGGCTTCGGCCTCTGTCACCAGGTTTCGTCACTGTCATTACCCTTTAGCTTTGCCCCTGGTACTGAAATCTGGGCAGGCTCAGGAGCTAGTTGTTAGCTAGATATTGCTTAACCTGCAATTCCAAGAGGTATGTGTTGATTTATAGGAATGAATGATTCTGTCGGTTTTGGTTTCTCCGTTTTTCCCAGGCTTACATTGGGTTCATTCTGAACATTGCTTTTTTGTCTGTCTGTTTTGTTTTGCAGGAAAATCCACACACATTTGTGTTCACCCATTTCTCTGTGTGTAATGTTGCTTCATAGTCACTTCTTGCAGGCTATTTTCCTCATGCATTTTTTGTTATCTCTACTAAAACATGCATTTTGTGCAAATCTTTATTAAGATGCACATTTTATATGTATGTTTAACTGGAGAAATCTATCACATCATTCAGAGAAGTGTGAATTGTATTGGCTGACTAAGGTTTCGTCCATGTATTGGTTCAAAAGTGAAACGACTGACTTTCTCCCTCATCCCTGGTGTTGGGCTTTTGCCAGGCAACTATCATATGTGTCTTTCCCTTTTCCCCGAAAGACGAGGCAGCAGGTCAAGCTTTTCTACAGTGTCCATGGTGTGAGATGGGGAAAAATCTGCTTGAAAATTATGAAGAGCAAATTTATCTGAGGGAAAATCTGCAGCATTTGGCCTCTTTGTTGATGGTGGTAGCATCATTCTTCCCCTTCTATATAGACATGTTTTAGGGTTGGTTCTCACATGCACTAGAAATGGACAAATCTATCATTTTCCATTCTTAAGTTTAGCTCATCCTGATCTCTGAAAATATTGCCATTCATGTGATCACTTTGTCTGAGGCCTGGAATTTTTTTTTTTAAAGCATGAGAAATTCAATGCACAGATGTATTTTTTCAGACATGTATGTGTGGGTTTTGTTTTGTTTCTTTTTTTTAGATTAGGGATATTTGCAAGACATTTTCCAAACACAAATTCCTGTTCAACTCTATTTGCACAAAAATATTCATTTTAGTTTGCTTTGATTCAAGAATTCCATTGCAGGATTTGAGAAGGCCATTTTGCCAAGTGCAAAATATAGTAAACTGTGAGCAGAATTCATCTTTCCTCCATCTCAGGTGTGTCTCTCACTTGATTGTGCTGGAAAGCATCGTGCCTGCAGCGCAAGGAAAATGTGGCAGTGTTGTGTCTATGCTGCGCAACTCACACACACAAATCGCTTGATATTGCGCTGGCCATGCGGAGCAGCCCTAGGCGTTCCGCACATTTGTATGCTGCTGGAGGTCTGCATGAATCGACAGTCCCAACTAGCCTGTCACAACCAGCATCTCCGTACCTTCTCACTTGTCTTCTCCTGGCAAGCGAGCACACAAAGAGGCAGCCAAGCAATAAGGAAGCTCTCCTCCAACAGAACCTGCACTGCTCCCTTCTTCTCCCCCAGCAAAGGCAGCACGAACTTACTGCGTTTTCTTTTCCTACTGAAATGCTGGTCCACGGAGGACCACTGCTTCCATGGAGGTCCGTCCCGCACTGCCTACTCACCTCTTCCTTCGTTGCGTCTTGCTACTAAAGGCTGACACCTGGTATGCTCAAAACCCACAGAAACCCAGCCAGGATGCCCAATGGCCAGGGATTATGGGAGCAGTAGTCTAAACACCTACAGAGGGCACTCAGTTGTCGATCCCAGGAGAAACTTTACTTTACCCAGCCACCTTCCTTCCATCCCCTTCATGGCCTCAGAGTTGACATGTGGGACCACACGCACTATACACCCTACAGGAATATGTCAAAAATGGCATCCCGGTAGTGAATGGTCTCCCCGCTGCTGTAACAGGCTGGGATGCACACCTGATCTCTCCTTGACTTCCCCTTGTCGTTCCATATCACTGGTTCACAGGCAAATCAGAAATGCTGCAAGGGCATCACACTTCTGAATAAGCAGCCAGGAGAAAAAAATGCAGGGACAGTCATGGGAAGCATCTCCAGCTCACGAGCAGCTGGGTGTTTGATGTGGGATGCGTTGATGGGTGCGCCTGGCAGCAGCGGCACTGGTCGGCTCCTTGGGATGCCATAAAGCAGGGCCAAGCTCCATGCTGGAGATGCTTGTGGGAGGCAAGAAAGGATGGGGAACATCTACACGTAAGCCAGCTGCACCCAAAGGCACCCAAGGCAAAAGGCAGGGGCAAAAAAGCAGCCCCTGCTCCACGATATTTGAACAGAAAGGTGTTACTACCAGCAAATACACCTTAGGAGAGACACTGCGACCCCGGAATGTGGAAAGCAGCATGATACCCAGGAAAACACCCAATGATTGGTGAGACCCAGTGTGGTGTGGTGGTGAGAGTGTTGGATCGGGGCTCAAGAGATCTGGGTTCAAATCCCCACTCAGCCGTGAAACTCACTGGATGACTTTGGGCTGCTCACTCGCTCTTAGCCTAACCCACCTCATGGGAGATGGCAATGGAGTGGATGCGAACCACGGAAGCCGCCCTGGTTGGGATACAAAGCAATGGCATGCTTTTCCTCATCTGGGGGCCCCAAACAGCCTGGGCTTCACACCAGGGCCTCCAGCCCCACACCCCTACAAGAACGCACGAACAGGCGGTGTAGGGCTTCATGTTTGCCCCTCTGGCTCTTTGAGCTTTGTAAGGAAGTTTAGGCAGCCATGCAAAGGAGGTACACGAACCAGTGGCTGCTGGAAAAGCATATGGAAGCAATTCCTCATGTCTCCTTTTCTTCAGAATGCTTTTTCTCCCGCAAGCCAGTCATTTCGGGCACCCTGCAAATGGGCCACGTTTGTCTCCACTGCATCAAGCTGCTTCATGTAGTCAGAGCCATTACCCTCTGTCCTCCTCTCGGCAAGAGGGCTCCCCTTAAGGCTCAGCTTTGAAGAAGTATCAGGGAATGCTGGGAACTGGATCACCCAGGCACAGCGGAGCTTCCTATTTAAATGACAGGAACCAACTCTTCATGAGGCCAACAGTAAGTAATGTTTAAGAATATGATTAGATCCATAACAAACAAACAGAAATTATTGCAAGAGAGATTTTCTCACTATATTTATGGTTCTATAAGGAATGTTGTACAAAACATAGTGCATCAGCTCTGTCTAAACATTACTTAGGTGCAAATACACAAATATAATTAAAAAAACAACCCAGGAGCATACTTTACAACATAACTTACAGTACTATAAATATATTTTATATACACGGTAACATATTTTAAGACATTATCTTCTTGTATTAATATTAGACTATTCAGTGCTTTTATTTTTAATTACAAACCTGCACTTTACACATCAATATTTGCATTGTTAGGCCAAGAGCAAACAGTTCCCAGCTCTGGAGGCCTTCGCAACCTCTTCCTCTTGGTCCATCGGTAGAGCGATTTGGCCTAATCTCCGAGGAACGGAGCTGGTGTCTCCGCAGTTTAAGACTCACCCGTCCACTTTCCCTGCTCAGCGGGAGGCCTAGAAGAGCGGCTGCAAAGGGATGACCGCTGGGTGCGGGGACAGGAGGGAAGGGAACAGTGTGTGTGGCAAAGGCGGGAAAGCCAAATGGCTCGGGTGGAGGACCGAGGCTGGAAGGAGCGGGAACTGAGGCGGGGCAACGATGGCCGCGTGGCCAGCAGGACAGAGTCTTGGACCGACTGACAGATGAGGTAAAGGTGTCCGCGAAATTGCTGGGACTTGGGAGAGAAACTGCTGGTGTGGCTGCAGGACCTTAAACGTCGTGGCGGCGGTGGCTGCTGCCGCCGCAGCCGCAGCTGCGTGCTGCTGCAAAACAGTGTGATGGATGGTGGTGACGGAGGTAGAACACTGCGGCTGCGGCAAAGGCAGGGGCTGCAGAGGGCCATTGTGGGTGGGCTGGATGGCGGCCGGGGGAAAGGCCAGCTTCACTTTGCCAGCCAGCATGTTTTGTTGGATGATCTGGTGGTAGGCCTCACACGGCAGATCTTTGAATTTGTCGTGGTTTTCCGGGGGCAAGAGCAGCGTGTGCTCAGGCAAGGCGAACGGGGCAAGTATTTGCTCTGTGGTCAAGAAAGCATGGCCGTTGAGATGTGCTTCTTTGAAGGGCAAAGGAGGCGGGGCAGTGAATAGACTCGGGTTATACCTCAGCCACTCGTTGGCTGACGGGTGCAGCTTTTCTGGCGGTCTGTTCTCAGCCACTTCATAATGGCACAGAAATGCTTTAGGGGGAGGTGGCTCCAGGTTTCTTTCAAGGCTGGGCACCTTACTAGGAGCCTGGATTTCAGGAACATCCACATTCTCGTGTTTTTCTGCCTCTGCCAGCACCTTCCTGGGCTTCATGGTGGCCAGAACACTCTGTTCAGTAGCTGGGGAAGCTGAATATGTAAATTCTTCCGGATAGGGAGTATTCTCTGTAACAGAACACTTTGATCCTTGGATATTTTCTAATGAAAGTACGTGTTCAGATTGTGGAGCTGTTTGGCTTTCTGCTGTCTGCATTACTTTTTCTATATTAGTTGCATAATCTGTGGTAGAGGAGGTTTTAGTTGGTTCTGTGTTTTCCTCAGCGGGTGGTTTGGGAAAATGGTCAGCTGTGGAGACCTCTTTTGGGGAGCCGACACTCCTGCTCCTCTTTGGTGCCCTCTCTGTAAACATACAACGAAGCCTTGTTCTCTTTCTCCTTCGTTTCCTTTTAGGTTTACGTGATACTGCTAAGTGATGCGTTTGTCTGGAATTCTCTTCTGAGAAACAGGTCTGTGCATTTGAACTTCCATCTGATGAGCAGGAGTGCGTATGATACCTTCGTTTTCTGTGCGATCTCTCTGGCTCATCTGAATTAGAGGCTCTCTTGATGGGTTGTGTTTGATTTGTGCATTTTTCATCCGGATAATAGCCTATATGTTTATGTTCTGGGCTACTGCTAGATCTTTGGGTACTCCAGCTACAATATGCTCTTGTGTAAACTGAGTTCCAACTTGCAGAATTCAGTCCTGGTTTATTTGATTGTTGGGGAGATATTGGCTTGTTCCTTCTCCCCAGATGATTGGAGTTGACACAACAGTCTCTGTCATCTTTTGTATTCCACACTGTGTGTGAACATTCGTTCTGATGGACCTGTTTGGCTGTAGATTTGGCTACAGAGTTCTCAACCCCAGGATCTTCTGATCTCTGCGGTAATAATTCCACAATGGAATTTCCTGATCCATCCTCACCTACCTCTTGTTCCAGATCAGTAGAAAATTCCTGGTGTTTACTGTCAACACCACAATGATTTTGTGGTTCAGCTACTGGAGGGAGATCAGCATTGTCCTCAGTTATTTTGTCATAATGGTGATGGCACAGCTTTCGCCTCCTTTTCCTCTTGGCACTTCTGTGAAACCACTTTTCATGAGTCCTTTTGATCCAGACTTTGTTTGGTTGCTCATTGTCAAATGAGTGCTTTTGTATACATTTGGGGGGATTATGGGATTTTTCTTTGTTTTCAGTTGTCCACAAGGTATCCAATCCATATTCATCTTGGGTTTTTTCAGGAACAGAACTCTCTGCTAAGGATACATCCACTGCGGCATTGTGGCACGGTTGCATATTGGTGTCAGTTTTACAATCAGCGTTCCCTGAAAGAGAGTCATCTGCATGATCTAAAACCAAGCCCTGGCTAGATTCAGCCTTACAGAAATAACTAGGCATATTTGACTGTGGTTTATTTTTCTCCAAGCATTCGTTTGGTCTTGATGACCTGAAGTCAAAACACAAAGGATTACAGCTGTATGAAATAGAGGGCTCTGTGTTGGTGTAAATTAACATTTCAGATGGCCACTGGAGAATGGTTGATCCATGTTTGTTAAGCACAGGAACAAATGCCTCGCATGGTCTTTTTTGTGAATTTGGTTTCCAAGGCAAAGCTATCATTTGCCCTTCTGGAGTTGCAGGAATCGGCCCATCAGATGTGCCTTTTTTAATTTCAGCTTCAGTGGTGGGTGAATCACTGCCAATATTCTGGTCATTCTCTTCCCAAGGAGTGTGCTGTGATAAACATTCCTCATCCACAGGGGGCCCTGTACATTCATTCCCCATATGTTCTTCACTATGGCTTTTGGCAGGGAGGGCTTGATTTCCAAGGGGAACGCTGGACAGTGTCTCATCCACCCAGGCTGCTGAATCCACATGGATGCAATCCAAATCACCAAATGCAGACTCTTTTGAATGAGACATAGGGAGTGTTAACTCTGTGACCTCCTGTGTCATATTCTCCTCACTGGCTAGTTCCATTGAGTCCTGTATTGGGGTAGATTCTGTTTGGGTGGCAGGTTTTTCCATGAGTGGAGCGACGGAAGCCATCTTCTCCTCAGAACACAATGCTATTTCTTCAGCAGATGAAACCTGAAGGCTACAAGGCCCAGGAACAAATCGACTTCTTCGGCTAAGCCCATGATCAGCTGCCGTTTCATCGTTATATTCATAGAAAGCAGCTGCTGACGATTCTAGCTTGACAGCTGCTTTCTTAGGAAAGGCAAACGAGAAACCCACTTTATGTCCGTGCAGGCCCTGCATTTGCTCCCCATGCTTTTTGACTTCAGGCATACAGTTATTGGCAGAGTCTGGTGACAAGGAAGCAACAGATGTGAGGTTGCCAGCAGCCTTTGAGCTGTGCAACATGGCGAGGTTAAATTCTTGCTCCTTTTGAGCAGAGTCAAGGAGAGCACATTGAGAGATGTCATTAAAGTTATCTCGGATGGTAACTGTTGTGGATCTGAACATCGGGCCGCTCCCAGGGGCGCTGAAAGAAAGCAAGCGAACAAACAAACAAATAAATAAATGAACTTGCTAAAAGTGAAAGCAAAAGAGAGAGACTTTGGAGACATCTGAAATTCAAAGCTCACAGGGCAGCAGCAAGAGTTCCTTTGAAAATCTCCAGCATAATCTTGGCATTTTACATGCAAAGAAGAGCCGAGCATTGGCATGTCTTGCAAGCACTTTGTGTGCAAACCCTGGTTGCAAACTTTCCCCCAGTTCAAGTGAGTTCTGGTTCCTACACAAGGGCTACTGGAGTAGTTTCTGCCGTGGCCTGCCCTGTTCCTGCCCTGTTCCTGAACAGGGCCAGCTTGGGAGGCCCTCGAGCAAGAAGTCCTCAGGGTTGACCTTCCTGAGTGGGTCCACTTCTTCCTCTCTGCTATTGTGACTTTCTATTCGTGTGTCCTCCTCTGGGCACAGCTGCCCAACAAAGAGCGAAAGGGAACTTTTGTGAGCGGGGCAGGGAGTCGCCAACCTTCCAAGGGCCTGTGTCATTGGACTCTGGAGGGGAGGATGCATTGACAAAGGGAATGCGGGGCCGGGAGAATCAAAGGGGACAGAAGCCTTTGAAGCCCCATCAAGGCCCACAGTTTCCCAGTCAGGCCATCAGGGCAGACACACTTTGGAAGAGATGGGAAGAGACGCAGGAGAGGAGATGGAGCCATTGCCTTGCCCTGCCCTGACTCCAGGAGTCAGGAGAGATGAGCTACCCAGTTTTAGAGGGCTTGCGTTGGTCTCGCCAGCTAGCTCTTCACCAACAGGAACCACCCTAAGGGTGAAGCCTACAGCGTGAATAAAGGGGGGGACTGGGGAGAAGTTCCAGCTTGCGTTCTACTCTCATTCACTCTTTACATGAGCAGAGGCTATTGTTCACCTTGCTAAGGAGCTTTTGGAGTCGCATTGCCTTGTTAGCTGTGAAGCGGCAATTTAGATCTGCATCGTAATGAACCGGCTGGTACCTTGGAGCCTGGGGCAAGAAAGGAAGGGTTGGACTCCTGTAGGAAGGAGGTGCTGCTGATGCTTCCCCTCACGTCAGTCGCTGCTTGCTAGAGAGGCCAAGCAGCAACAGCCAGGAGAAGATGCAGCACACCGGAAGCCTACAGAGGGTCTGGCAGTGGGGGCCCTGTTGAAGCAAGGACCTTGGCAGGTGGCTGTTGCTATTATTGTTATTTTTTCTGTATCATCAAAAAGATGAAGCTCTCTGGGCAGGGAACAACAGCTCATAAATATAATAAAATAGCATATCTGATTGAAGCAAGAAAACATCATAACATGGGCTTAAAAATTTAAACTACATTTTAATGGCCTAACGACTAATACCAGTTCACACTGCTGGGCCTGTTAAATGACAGCAAGCGATCCCTCTCACCCTGTGTGCTATTTGGAGTTGGCAAAGAGGGAGGTCTTCACCAGGCACTGAAAAGATAGTAAGGTTAGCACCAGACAGGCCTGAGTGGGGAAATCATTCCATAATTTGGGGGCTGCCACAGAGCAGGTCCTCCTCTTTGTGCCACTGGCTGAGTCTCCCCGAGAGATGGCATTAGAAGGAAGGCCTTAGATGGGGAGTGTGGAGCCCGCACACATGGTGGTTAGAAGCAGCCCCAAGCAAAAAAAGTGATTTGAAGGGTAAAGCCAGCACCTTGAATCAAGCTTCAAAGCATAACTGCAGCCAGTGCAGGTGAGACAGAACCAGTGCCATTGTTTGGACCACCTGGTCCCAGTTCTTAGTCTGGCTGCCACACTTTGCACAAGCTTCTGAACTTGCTTCAAGGGCAGCCTCACATAGAAAGTATTTCTGTAGCACAAGCTCCCCATATTCATGCCCCCAATGAAAGCAATGGAGATGCCACGTGAAGGAAATGACTGGAAGGTTCAGTGAAGGAAATGTGTGTGAGCCCAGGGCTTTTTTCCATGACTGATACTTGGCCGGAAAGGTGGCCTCCATGTTTGTTCCATCAATGTGCTTGACGTGCAAACTGGTGGAACGTCTAAGGTCCCCACCTGGAGGCATCACTCCTGGGCTGGTTCCACAGAGCAGCACTACCCTCAGAGGCTCATGTATACCACACATGCCCCCTTCCAGGGATCGCCAGCCCTCTCCTCTGCCATTTTAACTACATCTCAGTGGCACATGTTGTGTTAGCAATTTTGGAATGCTTCTAAACGCATCTGATTTGACACATGATGTGTGTTGAGCTGTCGGGGGAAGATAAGTATGGAACCCCCTGCAGTCATTTTAAATAGTTACTCTCGGAGCACAACTACCATCCACCAGACAGGTTTGCCTTTCCTCTGATGTAGCATGTAGAGCTCTTCAGCCGTATTTCAGAAAAACATTTATAGCAGCATCCAAATGTATGCAGTACCCCAGGGATCCAAGCTAGCAATTTCAGATAGGTATACACAGAGGCTGATCCATTGTCCTTCACCCTCTCTGAAGCACCACCATTAATAAATATACCATTAGGTGTAATGTGATCATTAGCACAGCATGGGGAGTTGGAGATGGGCCTCTGGCTGTGAGTTATTTAAAGGTTACAAAGGCCTGAGGAGCAGAGGAAGAACGAGTCGTGTGCACCCCGGCCCACAACATGCTAAATCAGAGTTCTTGGATTTAAAATGATTCCACTGTACAGAAACCTACAGGGCTAAATAATTTGGGGTTTTAAATAGTTTGAGATTCACAGTCAGAGTCTTGGGTGGAAAAGAGGACTTGAAGGTCACCCATTTTGCCTTCTCCCATTAATTCTTTTCTATGCAAATATTCCAGGCATCATCCGGATTAGGGAAGAATGGGAGGATGGGGTGCAGTCAGAGGTGAGTAGAAGAAAAGAAATAAAGGCTAGAAAAGATACATGCAGAGAGTTCAAGCAAGTGAGCTGTACCACTCCACAACAGGTAGCATGAAACCCCCACAATCAACCTGATCTATTGAGGGAAATACCATTTGCTGTTAAAACAGTCAGGATTTTGGAGACAGTTTGGGAGCAAATCCATTCATGTCCCAAGTCAGTCGTATACTCACTGGGCGGCTATGTCAATATATCAGAATTAGTTGCTAACCCATAAAAGGAAAAACAGCAACTGCTAAAAGCTGAATGAAAGTAGGCAGATCAAGGGCACCATCACTAAAGCTTCATGACCTAAATGCATGCAATTACAGTTCTCAGATATATTTTGATTTTTGAATATTGGTAAAATCTTGGATTTTAACAGTGCCTTTATTGCTTGTCAGTATTTCTTCTGGTGTTGGAACATAAAATTCACTCTATCCTGGAGGACTGCAACATCCAATCAATGTGGTAAATCTCAGAATAGATTTGCATGACAGTTTAAGCCATAGATCACATCACTGGAGGGCCCATTCACAAGACATATTCATCATGGAAAAAAAATTGCAAAATAAGCACACCATATTGTGGTGTTTTTCCCATGAGATAAAGTTTCAAGCATCACACACTGGGGATGTGCAAGTCAGCGATCCTCAAGCACAGGGTGGCCGTCCATAGCCCGCCTTCAAGCCCATTCTTATTCACAACTCTATCCCAAGCAAGCCCTGCTGCTTTGCAGTTTTCCTGAAGATCCATGTGCCTTGCCGTGTGCATTTCCCCAAATGTGTGTTGGCTGTGCATAATGGTGAAAGAGATGTCATTTCTCCTATAGATTAAAGTGTGTGCATGCACATTTTTAGAAGTGCACATGTGTCGTGGACATGTTTCAACTGTGCTACTTTTGTGAATGCATTTTTTTGTTGCACAGATTCCACTCCATGCGCAGAAATGTGCAGACATCAGCTGCAGATTGTATTAGTGTCTAGGGGTTGCTAGGTGATTTCTTCCAAAAGGAAAAGAAGGAAGGAAGGAAGGAAGGAAGGAAGGAAGGAAGGAAGGAAGGAAGATACACAGACCGAAACGAATTGCTCATCCATTGCTATATAACCTGTTGCCCACCAACACTGTAGAAGCAAAATGACATCTTATCCATTTTGTTTGTTTGTTTGTCTTAATATTTATATACTGCCTCATTCCCATAGGCTCTGCTGCTTTAGACAGTGCTATAATTTGTAATGATGCAATGGATGCTATTCAATGTGTGGACAAGTCTCAGTTGTAAAACTGAGGTTGCAAAACTCTTTGCACATCTGAAGGGCAACAAAGATCAGTGGCCATAAGATGTCCTCCAATGTGCAATTTCTATACTATGGATTATTTCTGACAGCAACTGATATTGCTTGATGTAAAAGGACGTTTGACTTTGTTTTGCTGGTACTTCTTTTCTTTAAACTCTGATAAAAGTTTTCAAAATATTTCAAAAATATACTGTGTTTTCATGCAAGTTGGTGAACCATTGCCGGTGCAAAGGCGCAAGGAACAGAGTACCAGCAAGGGATGCAGTGAGGTTTCTTATGTCAGTCTGTATATTCTAGAGTCCCCTTTCAATCTCACACCTGTTGGTACCCATTTAGTGCCTGGCTGGTACCTGGTTGGGCCTGGGAAGCTGCCTGTTGGCCAGCTGGGTGGATGGTTTGTAGTTGTACGTTTTGTGATGATAAAGAATCGGTTTAATTTTATTTCCTCTGTATTGTTATTACTTTAGAAACTTCTAAATTTTGTAATTGCTCTGTTTATTGTCTCATGTAGCTGATATGAGTTTGTTCTTTTTTAAATGTTTGCACTATTGCATTTTAATATATCTTGTATTTTAGTTGTAAACCACCCTGAGAGCCTTTTACAGCTAAGTGGAGGTATAGAAATTTAATAATAAGCAACAGTTTTAGTTAAGAGTTCATTGGCTAAGAGAGCGAGATGGGAAAGCAAAAGGGGGATCTTATTTAATGATTGATATCAATCTTAGGGACATGGCAGTTTATACTGTAGCAACCCTTTCCCTTGGATCCTGATGACTTTTACCAATGTACAGATGCTTTTGAAGGATTTTGGCTTTACAGTGGGGGTAGCAGTGGGTTACATTCCATCAAATTATCTCCAACTTTTGGCAATACTAGGAATGAGTGCCCACCAAAATATCCTGTCTGTCACAACCCTCCTCAGCTCTTGTAAACACAAGGCTGTGGCTTCCTTTATGAGGAATCCCATCCCATTCCATCCCATCTCAATCCGTCTCATAGTTACAGTACAGTGGTTGTGTTTCCACTTTTCCAATGTTTCCACTCTTTCCATTCACTTATTGCTCTCTTGTTACTTTGGGAGCATCTGATATATATCACAGTTCCTATGCTGGTTCCCCGCTCCCAAAGCACACATGTCAGCACACACACAGTTTGGGCAATTGTGGCCCAAAGAAGACTCAGTTTCCTATTACCTCCAGAGATTAATAGACATCATTTGCAGTAGCAAAGGTTTGTTTTCCACTGCCCTTAAGTAATTTTTTAAATATTGGAATTGCCATAGCCTCATCTTGGCAGAACTGAAGCTGTCTACGACACAGGATAACACTTATTTTAACTTGTTGCCCTCAGCTCTGCTAAATGGCAGATTTAACAAGATTCCATTTGACAAATGATTTTGGTCCTGTGGAATCAGACAGAATCTCTTGGACTTGTTCTTCTTACTTTAATTTGTGCCAGGGAGCCCAGAGAGAGGTTGATTCTCCCTGGTACCCTTCTGTCTTCATGAGGACTCTTTCCACATTACTGAAAAGGTAGTTAAATTCTTTTTATCCTCAGTAACAATTGGGAAGAACTTCCCTTTGTCTCCCTTGTAACTATATCTGTAGACTTATGATGTAATTTATCCGATCTGTGTTCACTGTTATTGACCTGTGACTGTAATACATCATTGACCTATGCTCTTCGTTATTGTGATGGCTTCCAGTCAGTGATGGAGCGCATGCTTTCCATGCAGAAGGTCCAAGATTTGTTTGTTTTATTCATACCCAGGCATTCTACCAAAAATGCCCTCAAAGGTGGCTTATAGAATCAATAAAACTTACTAAAACTATACCTTAAAATACAACAGAACGCAACTATTTCAGGTGAAAATGTTATTAAGAACAGTACACCACCCAGGTTCAGTCCCTAACAAATCCTCTAAAAAATGTTCAGGGAGTAGGGGATGGGAAGGTCCTTTACTTGAATCTATGGAAAGCCATTATCAGAGTAGGAAATATTTACTTAGATAGGCCAATGCATGGCTCAGAATGAGGTGCCGTCATACATTCCCCTGTATACGCTTCCCAAATACAATTTTGTCTGCACACATGATTGTGTGTATATCCATCTTATCTAATATCTTATAATTTTTGGTACCCATTATTGGACATGGAAGACTATCAGGTGTTACAGGTTTCTGAGAGCTCACATTCTTCTTCTTATTATTATTCTTTACAGAGCTCCATCCTTTTGCCTGGTGCCTTCTAGACAACATGGGTACTTCCAGAAGGAAGACTCCAAAAACCATTATTCAGGACACTGTATGGAAGCACCATCTTTCTTTCCTTAATAGATGCTCTGCAGTCAGATCAAAGGGAAAGTGAGAAAGATGCACACCTCCCACACATTCTGTGAAGGAGGCAAGAGTGATGGCACGGTCCATGGAGCCATTTGTGAGCAAGGAGGCGTTTCCACTCTGTAAGCCCTTTACAGTGGGATGGCACCCCGTCTGAATGAGAATGCTTTGGGTTGTGGCCACACCTCTCCCTCTAAAAAGCTAAGGGCTCATTCTCTCTGTGGAAAGTGAAAGCATGCCTGAGGCGGACAGGTGAATTTTGCTGATCTTGCCACCACTACTGACTGTCTCCACCACCCCCATGGCTCCAGAGGGAGGATCTTCAGACGGTACAAAGGCCTGTAGGGGGAAGTGGAACTCAGCAAAAGTCACTTCCTTCCATTCCCACCCCCCGGAGTGAATTCTGGCTGCATGCCTATGGAATCAAGCAAGCTGTGGGATGGCACAGCGACTAAGCATCTAGCTGGAAAATTCTCTCCTTCTCCCACGTGGTTCTCCTGCCAGGCTTCATTCAACTGGCATAATCCCTCCTGTTTCTCATTGCCATGAAACATGTAAAGAATATATTTTAAATGGGATGCCTGGTGAAATTAATGAATGAATTAATTAATTAATAACCCTAAAACTTGCATTTCTTCAAACGTAATTGCTGCATACTGTTTAGAGAGTGCTGTGAAAGTGCATCAGCTTTGTTCAGGTTTTGGATCTTAATAGGAATCGGCTACTCTGACACAATGTGTCATCCAAGATATCGTTTAATAACTTTTCACTCACCATGCGGCTTCTTTGCGGAGTTCAGCTAACTTGTGTAAGCGCTGAAGGGCTTTTTCTTGTTTTCTTTCGTCTTTTCTTGATTTTGAGGCTACATTTCGTGCAAACTCCCTCTGTTTTAGCTCCTTGAGTCTCTATTAGAAATAATTGGAAGCAAGAAAAAAGAGAAGAAAAGAGAAACATTAAATGCCAAGAGAGGGGTCTTCCATGAGCTCATTCTCAAAGAAATAAGCTGTTAACAGACAATTACTTTCTGTTCTCAAGAAAGTATTTGATGTGTTTATTTATACAGTTTGTCAGGTGCACCTGAATTTTCCACAGCATTATCATTACTATTTTGTTCAATTTACCAAGGAGCTTGACTGTATTTTTTTCCAGTGACTGCTTATGCATCTTGGTAATAAAATGCATTCTTCTTCTGTAGTAAAAATGAACTGTTACTTTACAATGACACAAAATTATTATCATACATGGGAAACTAGATACACCTCTTTTGGGTGGGTATTGTTTAGCTCAGAAAACACACTGGCTTATACAGTAAGTCCATCTTGTGCATCAGTTTCTCTGAAGAAATGCTCCGTTTGAAATTAATTATTCAGCTAGATGATTCATATGTGAAGATCTAAAGTTCAGTCTTTCCTTTTTTCCCATCTATTTGTACATCTCCTTTGGGTATTCGAGGCAATTTAAAATGCAATCCTGTACACAGCTATATGGCCATAAGGCCCAGTTACCCCCAAGAAATATGTATAGGATTCCAACCTTACAGTGTAAACAGAAAAGCAAAGTAAAACAATCAGGAATAAAACAGAGTAGAGTAGAACATACCCACACAAACCCTTATGCACTAATAAAAAATATAAGCAAAATATTTGTTAAAAACCAATAATGAAATGTATCCCTAGCTGATTTGGAAGTCCCATAGTGAGACACTGGTGCCCAGAAGGAAAGTCTTTCAAAATTTAGCAGTGCTGAGCATCAAATGGCTGTGTACGTGCCAAGAGCTCACACCTCAACCAAGGCTCACTGACTACATTTCCCATCACTGCTTCACCATTGCACTGTGCAACAAAGGAAGCCAGCCAGCCCAAGGCACTATCAAGCCCAGAGCTGACGGTGATGGGAAGAGTTTCAGGCTGGAAACTTTCCCAATCCTATCTGGTGATCCTGATCAGCGTCCCACCACTGAGCTCTGATCCCTTCCAAGGGGTTTGCTTACCTGCCACTTTCTCTGGCCTGGAAGGACATCTGTACTCATGGGACGGAGAGGCAGTAACTTTGGCTGCCTGCTTGCTCTCGACAGCGAGTGGCTATAAAGGCAGTGAGGAAGATGTTTGCCCACAGAGCGGGTACTGCCCAAGGGCTCTCCATAATTAGATCCTGCACTGATAACAGCAAACAACATCCTGAACTGTTTTGCAACAGGATGAGGGGAGGGCTGCACAAACATCTTCAAGAATAAAGTTGTATAGACCTTGCCATAGTCTACACATCAAAAGCCAACAATAGTTTCTCATACACAGGATAACAAATGGTGCAAAAAGATTACAGTAAGAGAGAAGAACACATTTGGTCTATAACTCAGATGCAGACACACTATTAAGATAATCAGAGATCAAACGTTCCAATCTGACCCTTATCCAAACAAAAATTCAAACCAATTACATTTTCAATCTGGAAAGATAAACACATGCTACCAAAGCCGTGAAAATGGACAGATGAAGCAATCAAACATGACGCTACTTTATTAAGAACAATCTTTAAAACAAATATTTACTTGATGGCCAACAACAGCAATGTGGTTCTTCCCCACTGAGTTGCCACAGAATCACTACCAACTGCATTAGTGGGAGGGCGTTGGCAAGCATGCACTCAATTAAAATCTATGCTTATTATATTATGGCAAATGTTGAAGTAAACAGGGAAGATTGCAAAAGAAAAAGAAAAAAAGGAAAAGAGATGATTCCCAAGCCTGAAATCTGTGCAAAAAAAAAAAAAAAAAAAAGGGGGAAGCAGGTTTTCTCTAACTTTCCTCCAATGAAGCAGAATTTTTTGCTTTCTGTCTTAATGGAAGGGGTGGAAAACCTTCAACTGTCCGAATGTCTGCCACAGATTCATGTTCACAAATGACAAACTGAGCCCTAAAACAGACAAATCTTGCCTGAAAGGTCTGGGCACTGGACATTGTAGGTTGCCTTAAGGAGTTTACCACTTATGTTTGGCTGCTCACCAGGGGTGTCCCTCACCCATTGTTCTCTATGGACAGTGCCCTACTCCTACTGCGTATGGTCCACAGGGGACAAAATGGCCCCAGAGCCCCCAGAGTCACCCAGCCCTTGATTACACAGAACGCTAGATACGATTTTGTGGCCATAGAATACGTTTTGCCTTCCATTTGATCCATAGCGTGATTGTCATGCTAGTTAGTAATTTTCCTCCATAGGGATATAATTCACAGCAACATCTTAAAGTGTGCCAGTTTCCTCCAGATCTAAGCTCCTCCCTGTGTTTCTTTCCTCTGAAGACCTGCTCTCTGTGCCCAAGTGTGAGCATGCAGCCTATGGGATCATGCCTGATGATGCCACATTGTCTCGTCCAGATTCCCTGCCACAATCTGGAAAAGTGCCCAGCTGCCACATCAGTCCCTTGCCCTAACATGCCCTAAAGGCAGAAGGCCTTTCTCTAGGCACTGCTAGTCTCAACCTTTCCCGAGCTCAGAGGTGGACAGACTTTGACTAAGTCTCTGAGGTCCACCAAGTAGCACAACAGTGCCTCACTGTGTGTGTGTATGTGTGTGTACCTGTGTGAGAGGACATACCACCCCCGCTCCCTAGGATCAAGGCACAGGGTGCCTTTGAACACATGTCTCAGGGAAATTATTTGTCTCCGGTCCCAGAACTGAGCTCACAGTCCTTTCACACAAACATCCATTCCTGGTTTCCTCTAAAGCTTTCTCCATTTTAGCAGCCACATTCAGGGCTGGGGAGAACCTCATTTTCTGCAACTCTCAGATCCCCAGTAGACCTTACTCTTCATTCCATTCCTCTCAGTTCTGGCCAGACCAATTTACTCCATGCTTGGCCTCCCCTCTGTGCTCTCATCAGAGACTCCTCTTACTACCCTGCCTAAACTTCCTGTTTTGACTTTAGATCCCCAGAAGACTCCATTTCTTCCCTACTAATATGACCCTTATCTTGTATTTGCCAGGACGTTGTCCTCTGTACTGCATTTCCTGGGCTCTTCCCTCCACAGACATTTCCTTCCCACTGGACCTTCCCTCCTCAGAGCAGCAAGTTCCTAAATTCACATTTCTTGAAGGTCACTCTCTTCCTTTTAATGCACCACTGAAGGTTCAGCTTCAGCTTCAGCTTCAGCTATCCATTTTCCCTATTTGCTGGAATGAGGCTTTCAATGTTTCCTTCCTGTGGGGTGCCAATTTTGTGGATGTGTGTGTGTGGGGGGGCAGTCTAACAGTTATGGGGACCATCCCATTTCACAAATGATGGAATTTCAAATGAAGCTGCAGGTTTCTATGCAGAGAAAAAGATCTGAGGCGTTTCGCTTCTGGTCTCGTAATTAAACCAGTGTGGGAAGGCTCTTGCTGATCAATACCACAATGTGGGTGTGGAGTGGGGGGTGGTGAGGAGTGGGACAAATAATGGCAGGAGGTATAAAAATCTTTTGGTACTAAAGGCAGGCTATGTTTTGCATAAGTCTTGCTATTTCATGTGCAGCAGTCGTCCCCCCCCCCCCCCCCCCCCCCAGTATTATGGTTGAGAAGGGAAGGGCTAAACCTTCCCTCCCATGCCATGTGCTCTGGTTGCTTTAGTCCCTAGTCTAGATGGATTTCAATAAAACCAGCAGCCAAGAAGAAAAGGCTCAAAGCTCCCCTATCCCTGTGCAGTGTTCTAAATCTTGATCAGGGCCCCCAAGCTTATATCTAAATCAAGCCTATCTCAGAGGGTTGTTGTTGGGAAGATAAAATGGAGCTAAGCAAGCTACATGTGGGTTCCTCACAAGAGGAAAAAAGTGGAAAATAAATACAATGTCATGTAATAATAAGTTTAAAAACAGAAAGCGAAGGTAAACTGCATGCTGTGTATTTAACAGAGGATGCTTTAGGTCAAGGTGATTAGTCTGTCATATGCATGTTTACTTGGAAGTAACTCCCACTGCATCTTTTTTCTAGGAAGATTGGATAGGATGGCAGCCTTCAGAACTGGACAAGTACCATGCTGGATTGGGCCATGGTTGACCTAGTCTAGCGCTCTGCTTCACGTGTGGCCGAGCATGCACGGAACGAGGCACAGACGCACGTAGCCCGAGTCTGCTGTTTGCTCTCAGCATCTGGCATGCAGTCACAGTGCCACAACCTCAGAACAAGCAGGTGCCTCTTAGCTCCCACAGTGCAGGCCCAGAGTCCCCAGCCTGGTGCTTCCGCTTGATCATCCATCTCAGCCCAGGAATGCTTTGCCACATCTTGTTCCTGATAAGAATCCCCTCCCAGACCCTCAGGCCCAACAGCCAAAGCAAGCTCTCTTGGGATCCTGATCAGCCATCTGGGGTTCCCATCAAGGCCATGCTCCTGTCTCCTAACCTGACCCCCTTTCTCTCAGCCACTGAATGTTTTGTGTCTACCCAGCTTTCATGTGTTCCCCCTTCAAAATAGCTGAAGCACCACTCCCAAGGCTTACTTGCTGGCCATAAGACTTTTAAGCTACAATATGGAGGCATTTGGGATATTTGGCCCTTCCTCTTTTACCTTCATCCTGCTCCATTGCTGAAATTAGGCCTCTGAGAGATTATTTGAAATTTAATATGGCCCTCAGGTTGAAAGGGGGATATATTATAGTTAGGGTCATGCCAAAACTTTCCTCCTCACTTTTTGAATCATTCCTATACAAAACAAATGAAAAGTTTTGAGAAGAAATTCTACAGAGAAGCCATGTTGGTTACATCCTCATGGCTTGTGTTTGGGCTTCTTGGGCTTACCTTACTCAGGAGGTGGCTAAGGGCCCTAAAGTCAGTGCTCTGTATAATCATATTTTTAGTAGCCTGCTGTCTCCTCAGCTTCCTACAGTTCTATTAAAGCCCAGAGGAAGCCATGAGGTAATTCCTCCCACAAGGTATTGTC